GGCTACAGGGAGACCCTGTCTCAAAAAGACCAAAAAAAAAAAAAGATGCCATTATGTTCACAAACAGTAACTACAATGAACATTTCAAAGAGCAGAGTATTTCTGGAATTATCCTGTAAACCAGAGACAGAGCCACTTGCTACCCCAGCAGCAACTGAAAACAAATGTTTTGTCTCCCAAGTCAGCTCCCCTCCTCAACCAGCCTGGAACATCTTCACCACATAGACATGCTGACTGACATTCCTAATACCCACACCACATGCCTAAAGTTTAAACTTACCATGAAAGAGAAACTAATATAAGACACAAAGTTCCATTTTTAACATTATAGATATCTTTAATACCTATCTTTAACAGGTATCTTGAGATATCTCAGCTTAATGATTTTCTTTTTTTTTTTTTTCTTTTTTAAATCTTCAAATTTAGAGTAAGGTGCTTTAGCTTCTTCCACTTAGAAGGGCAGTGTTAAGAAGAATATATGAAAGGGATAGTTAGTTGAGAGAGGGACCAGTCACCGTTTTGATTTGCAAGGTGCGTTTTGTTACAAGTCACACCATATTTTTTTAAAAATTATTTTTTCTAAAAAAAAAAAATGAAAGAAATGGACTCACCCAACCCCCTCCCAACAGGCCGGCTCCCGGCATGAGCAGTCCTTCAGGAACTGGATCATCTCAGCATGGAGCATGCTGGGTAGTCAGAGCCAAATGGGAGCCGGCATGGCTGGACTCAGGGGGATCTGAAAAAGTATAAAACTACTTATGTGCCAAGGGTTTCCCCTATCTTCCACTCAGCACAATTCATCTGCAAGACTAGAGCACAGGGAAGAATAGAAGAATGGAAAACCAGAACAGCAGTATTAGAACATTTTGTTGGAGGCCCTTTCTCATTACCAAATATTTACAACAGCAACATGAGAGGCTGAAAGGAAAACACAGTGTGTATATTCTGCTTTGTTCCCGTCATATGGAACATAGTACCACCAGAACCATCTGTCAAAGGATATCTTTTCTGGTTAATTTCCTGCAGCAATTCCAGATATGGAACTTAATAATAAACATAAACGAAGCAGTCAGACTCTAAATTAGAAACTGCCAATAAATATCTGATTCTCTTTTCTTTTTTCGGTCTTTTTGAGACAGGGTCTCCCTGTAACCCCAGCTGACCTGGAACTCACTATGTAGACCAGGCTGACCTTGAACTCACAGAGATCTACCCAGCCTCCCAAGTGCTGGGACTACAGGTGTGCGCCACCACGTCCAGTGTGATTCTCTTTTTAAAAAGATTCAATTCTATTTGTTTTATGTGTATATATATGTGCTTGAGAATGTGTACCATGTACATTTAGGTGCCTAAGTGGTTGTGAATTGCCTGATGAGGGGGTTGGGAACAAGAGAAGAGTCAGTGCTCTTAACTGCTGAGCCATCTCTCTAGCTCTAAGTATCTGATTCTTTTTTTTAAAAAATATTTTATTTATTATTTTTATTTTATGTGTATGCATG